CCGCAAGGTCCCCCAGCCAGCATGTTTCCTCAGCCTGAAATTATCTTCCGCCAGATCTTGACCTCCTGTCTGCAGTAGCTGCCCCTCCCCGAGCCCTCTCCAGCCCTTTGCCCTCTGCCACGTGGTGGTGGTTGAGGGCCTGTTCCCATCACTAGCACAAGCCACACGAGGGTGAGGATTTGGGTTCATTAATGTGCTTGGCACAAAATAGGTGTTCAGTTAATATCTGTTGAATGAATGGGTAGTCCCGAGGCACTAAGCAGTTCTTCCTCCAGGCCATTCCCCCCCTCCCCCCCATCTGGAGGTCACCTCCCCCTCTGCCCCGACTGTAGAGTCTCCTGGCCCTGCAGCCCCATCTTTCTATCACTTTGCAGTTATGAATAGATACGTGTTGGTGTTTATCTGGTTGCTGTCTGCTTCCGCCACTGAACTTGGAGCTAGCTGCCTGAGGGCAAGGACCGACTGAGTTTGCTTTGGCCCCCACCGTCCGTATTCCCTGCCCCTGGCTAATGTCTGGCTCCCGAGGGCCCTGGGATGAATGAGCCAGTGACGTACAGGAGCCAAGACTGGAAGACAGTTTTCTCAAATTCCGGCCCACACTCTCAGCATGACGCTCCTTCCTGGTTTGAATTCGACTGAATACAGCAAGTGTCACCTCACTGTTTTGGGGCCAGCTCATTTCAAGACCCATGGGGCAGAGGCTCCTGGAGTGTCCGGCAGTTACAACACCTTTGCTTCCTCGTGGCTTCAGACTGAACAGGGCCGGTTCTCGCAAGGTGTCGCTTCCTCCTGAGTTTATTTTTAAATCAAGATGAATCTCTGTGCCGGAAGCCGGGAGCGCTGGAGGAAACCCCTCTTGCTGGCTGCGTGGAGGCGGACTGGCCGTGTGAGCTGCGGGCATAAAGAGAGATCGATTTAATTTTTGTTAGTCCCGAAAGTCAGACATGTTTGTCATAGCAAGTTAACAGAATTTAGAAGAAAGCTCGTTTAGCCTCACCTCCCACAGAGAGCCATTTCAACAGTTGGGTTGTTTCCTGCAAGTCAGTTCTTTGTGTATTTTTGCCCTTTTTTTGGGAGGAGGGGGCATAATTTTGATCATACAATATATTGTGCCTCTCCTTCTTCTGCCACTTAACTTTATAAGCACATAAATAAAATATTTTAATATCAAGTATAAAAGTTTTTCAGTACATAGTAAATGTTACTATGAAACATTAAATGTTTCCTATTGATATGTGTTAATATGTATAATTCAGTATTAAGATATTGAATAAAAATACTTCAAAACTAATTTTAATGACTAAAAAACTTTCTGTCATGCGGGGTGTATCATACTTAAGCTCTTCAGTTGTTCACCCTTTATCTTTCTTACCTCTCCTCATTTCTTGGTTTGTCTTACTCTGTGTATGTGTTTGACACACCATCTTAAATCCTTTTGGAAAAGATGGGGTATATTATATATATATCATATATAAAAACATTTAAAATCACCCCCTAAGCTTCGATCAGTGGCAGTGTCCAGCCAAGAGGTCTGCCTGAGGTACGATTATTGCTAATTAAAATTGCTCCCTGTGAAAGCTAAGCGATTATGGTTGTTTTTAATTTGTTACTACTACTGTGGCACTTTGATGAACATCGTTACACATAAGTTATGTTTATATTTAAGGTTATTTCATTAGGGTAGATTCCTAGGTTTGGCATTACTGGGTTTGAAGAGTGTGGATATTTTAAAAGTTCTTGCAATTTCTTGCCAAACTGCTTTCCTAAAATGCTCTTCAGTTTATCCTCTCATTAGCAAGTAGGAAAATGCATGTCTCGGTACATCCTGACAGCAGTATGTATGATTGTAAGGATCGCCAAATTGCAAGATAGAAGACGGCATCTGTTAGTTGGTTTGGAATGTGTCTCTCTGAATTCACACCCAGGGCTGTGGGTGGAGGAATGTCCATGGAATACTCTATCTGAGATTTTTGTCTTGCAGCTGACTTTGGTGTGTCTGCCAAGAATCTGAAAACTCTGCAGAAACGAGATTCCTTCATAGGGACGCCTTATTGGTGAGTCATGCAGCATCGGGAAGTGGAATGGTGGACGAAACGTTAAACCACAGACTCCCCAAGGTGACCCCTGGCCGGTCCAGGGGAGAGAGGACAGGAGGCCAAGCCTCCCGAGTCAGCCTGCCGGGTCTGGGCCCAGTCTCCCACTTACTAGAGCTGTGACCTTGGCCACGTTGCTTAGCATCGCTGTGCCTCAGTTTCCCGATCTGTAAAATCAGGGAAGTAGAATAATGTAATAGTGTAAATAGGATAATAGTAACAGTATAACATAAATGAAATAAAACTCGTTTAATGCGTTATTGTGAGGATTAAATGGGATGGTGCACATAGGTGCCTATAGAAAATGCTCCATTAATGGTTTTGTAAC